ACCTGGTATCAAGTGGAGCTGTTATTTAAGTGGGAACTTTGAATTTTATTAAATTTAGATAGAGCCTCACTCTGTAGCCCATGCTGACTTCATCCTCACTTATGTAGCCCAGGATGGCCTTAAACTCACTGCAATTCCCCTGCCTCAGCCTTCCAAGGGACTAAAGGAAGGAACCACCATGCCTACTTCATAGCCTGACATTTTTCTGAAATTTGGGAAAGAGTGAAGCATATACAAATTCTGTTAACTGATGCTGGACAATTAACAAAACAGGGTCAGAAATTACCCTGAACTAAAACCCAAAACAATTCAAAAGGCAAAAAGTCTCCTAAACTGTAGAGTCTGACCTTTACGCCCACGCAATGGTGTGATTATCCTCATCTGAAATACAGCTTGTTATCTTGGAGGCTCTGAGCTCCGCACAGATCTATCCAGAAAAGTCTTCTCTAATGGTAGGAACCTTCGCCGTAGTCTGCACGGTCCAAAACAGTAGCCAGCGGCCACGTGTGGCTGTTGAGTATCTGTGATGTGGTACGTGCAGCTAAGGACACAAAGAGTTTAGCTTACTTACCTATGGTTCCTCTATACTCAAACAGACACTTGGGGTGGTGCAGCTCTGGGAAGTCTGGTAAACAAGCTCCTGGATTTGGACCTTGCCTGCATTCCAGCTCCTACGCTGCTCCTCCCCATCCTCAGAAACAGCTCTCAGCAGGCTGTCCTGTTTTCTCACCCCTCCAAGGCTCTGCCCCCTGCTGAAATGTCCTTCCTTGGCCACACTTCATCAGAGCTTTGTTCCGATTTCATTTCCTAGGAGCAACTATCTCTACTCTCCCACCCTCAGCCCCACCATGAAGAGTTGCCATCACCTCCTCCGTGTTCCTCTGGATCTAGTTCCGTGGCTACTCTGTCATTATGTAGTTGTAACGTATTCTCTGTGTCACCTACATCTATATGAACTTTGAGGGCCAGGTCTTACTCATCTCGCAACCTGGCACTGTGTGCCAAGAGATCATATAATACATGTGTTTATTCTAAGTGTTTCCTGATTACAGCATTAAAATTTAAATACGCACAGTGTTCCATTAAAATTATTTTCAAAGCACAACTACTTCATGACCATGAAAACTCCTGGGACCAAAGTCTATTATAAAGCAAATTTTAAAACAATAAAAAGTTCTTTTTCAGTTTAAAGGCTGGGCATGGTGGTGCATGCCTTTGCTCCCAGTACTTTAGAGGCAAAGGAAGGAGGATCTCTGTGAGTTCGAAACTAGCCCGGTCTACATAGTGAGTTCCAGGCTAGTCAGAACTACATAGTGAGACCTTATCTTTAAAATAAGATCAGCTAAAGGTCTGCTTATTTTAAACTTCATCAATGTGGCTCTTCAGTACAAACCAAAGAATCCCTGGAACAAGCCTGGATGTCTCTTGGCCTTCAAAAATGGGTCTTGTCATTGATCTGCCCCCAGCACCTGTGCTGACTTTTCCAAAAGACCAGGATGAGGTTTAGAAGCAAGGGGACATGATTTAAGACTCCTCTTTGCTTAAGACACATGAGAATTTGGAGTGATTGATACAATCCAACCTCCAAGAAAAGAATAATTAAAATCTTATCTAACATGGACAATAATGACTTTGGATGATGTGTGACTGTTCCATGGCAGATGCTACCCAAAAAGAATTGGGAGTTTCCCTTATTCCTTGGCACAGCTTTTGCACTAGAAATCCTTCTTCGGTGTCTCATATAGCATCTGTTATAATATTAACCTGGACTCGTAGTCACAGTCGTTTCTCTTTTTGTTTTTTCTTTTTCATCATAATTTCCCAACTAATATATTATTTGTATTCCCACACAACTAGAATTGGCTCTGGATAGATGCATTTGTAAACCCGATTTTTATGAAGTGTTTCCCAAAACCCAAGGCTCTGGTGGATGTGTGCTCCAAATGTGTGTTTTGCCTGCTATCCAGGGACTCCTTGTTCAATAATGAAACAAGAGTCACCGCCAGAGATACACTCTGGTGTGCACAGCCGTGGCCTGAGGCATCAGGAAGAATGCAGAAAGCACACAAATCAGAGATACTTCATCTTCATGTCTGGTAGAATTTGAGAATTTGACTTCTGCTTTTTTATTCATTTGCTGGTTTTGTTTTCTTTCAAAAGAACAAACAACACTTTCAATGCAATGACTGAGTTAACAAGTGACTGAACCCTTTAGGGCAACAGAATCATTAAGATACAACTCATGCCAGGTGGGGGTGGTATACACCTTTAATCCCAGAACCTTGGATGAAGAGGCCACCCTGGTCTACAGAGCAAGTTCCAGAGCTATTACACAGAGAAACCCTGTCAAAAAAAAAAAAAAACTCACATTTTCCCATAACATTTTAAATAGACTTTAAACAACCTTTTCTCTTGTTTTCCTTTTCTTTGCCCAAAATATATCTCACGCAATTGTAATAGGATATCTTTCAAAAAGAGATAAAGATCTAAGTTCTTTTCGGGGCTTCTAATGACTAATGTGAGATAAACCTCCCTCCTTAAGATATCTTAAATTTAAATATAGCAGTATCAATGTTAATACCCTTCTAAACTCCACCCATCTAGGACAAATGGTGGTTAAACTAGAAATCGCTTTCTATATGTTATTAGAACTGCCTATAAATTCTATGAATATAAAATGCACTTGTTTACAAAATGTCTATTGCTGCTTGGAAAAGGAAGACCTGGTTTTCAAAGATGATATTACAAGGTTAAAAAAAAAAATGAAGCTGGTGACCCAGGTCTCTCAAGATTTGTACGCCCAGCATGCCATCTATCTCAATAATGCCTAACAAGAATGCCAAAAGGACAGGAACAACCGTGGTGAACAAGTGCTTGCAGCTGACAGTGATTGCTGTGTTTGAGGTGATGGGGAACAGCATTTCCATTAGTTCAAGTGAAATACAATGCCCTGCCAACTCTGGGTATCAGTGTATTCAATCCCCTGCTGTGCGTGTCCACTTTCTGCTGCTGCAATTAAAAAATCAGTCGATACGAAGTCAAAATGTTGTTCATTCCTCCCCCTATCCCTTCCCTGTTTCCAGCTTCACCGGAAGAAAGTGTCACTATGGTAACCAGTCCCTCTGATGCACAGACCAAGTCAACCTCTCTAGTCAGACTGCCAAGCAGGCAAAAAGTGGAATAGGAGACCTGGATGGAGCCACCAGAAGCCATAAACCCCATTTCCCTCCTCCTCTAAGTAGGGCTGGCCGATACCAGACAGAGGATACCAGTCTGTTCTAAAATGCTCAAGGAAGGGAATGTAAGGCTGTCCTTCAACAAATCTTGTCAGCGCCCACCAGTCATTACCAGCGGCTCTCCCCAACACTTCAGCCAGCTACCTATCGTTTCCATGGTAAAGAAAGCAGAGCACAGATAAAATAACATCGTTAACCTGAAAACAGTTATAAAGCGCCCCCCCCCCTTGTGAAAAATAATTCTGCTTCCTCTTGGTTTCCTGCTCCTCGGTCCAGTCCCAAAATATCTTGCGCATCCTTCCCAGAGTTCCATCTGGATCAGGCCACACTAACAAGAGCCTTGTCAGGAAGCAGGTGGAGTGCCTGTGAGTACTGCCATGCCCATCCCTAGTCAGCCCCAAGAAGCTACACAACAAATGCCAAGATGGACACTCACTCACTCCTTCTCTTTCCTAACTCTCCTCCTCACCTGCCAACTGTGAAATGGCCTCCTGGACCATACCCACTACTAATCATTCTTACATGGTTGGTGGTGGTGGTGGTAGTGGTCGTGTGTGTTTGTGTGTGTTTATTCAAATTAACAATTTCTTTTGAATAACCTCAACATTTTTGCAACTCAAAGTACATCAGTTCTCTCAGATATTGTTTTAAAACATCAATAAACTTCACAGTGATGCGAGAAATTAAGAATCACTTTATGTCTCGGCACATTTGCAAATATTAACACAGTTGTCAACTACCCAGCGGTTGAAGAGAGTGACAGATGAGGGGAGAAGCAAGGTCTGAAATCTGCACATCTTCCCAGGGTGCAGCCATCATAGAAAAGAACACGGTCCCCTCCTCAACAAAGCACATGACAGTGAACAGTATTTCAGCAGACTGACGAGACAGGATGGTTCCCAACATATACAGGATTCACAAAATGCATCACGCAAGCAGACTTTCCTATGCATGTGATCATATTCAAATATCAAGTGTTATTAGCAAATGTTTCCTTATGATCTGTCTTCTATGCCTTGAGTGGTTTATATAAATCTGAAAATAGTATTTTTTCCTCCTGGAATGCCCACTCAGGTTGACTTTGGGGGCTTACTAGACTGCTGACATTCATTGCAAACCGACAGTCACTTCTGTCGCCCACCTCTCCAAGGAAGAAGTTAAGTACTGTAATGGAATGCTGCTCACTAGCCACTTTGGGCTACTGTAAAACGGGGCTAGAATTTCTTGGTGTTTATATGGCCAATACCTACACCATGACTTCTACAGTGCATTACTAAGTAAATGTTTCTGGGGTCCATACGGCCTTTTCTGGGAGACACCCCCACCCCCAGTTTCCCTTGCTCGAAGCAGCTCAACATCTAAAACAGAAATTAAAATTCGGAGCCAGTTACCCCTGACACATCACCCTTAAAGGGCTTTCTCCAGAAACAGCATTGGAGATTCCCTTCCTTCTCAAAGGCTGATGAGGCATTACTCTGGATTTTAAGAATAAAAAGTAAAATGGTCCAGGAGATTCCATGAGAATCTGGATAGACAAGAGCAAAACGGCAGGTGAGCAAAGAGAGTGAAAGCTTTACCACATTCTATCACAGCTATGGAGAGGCAAGTTCTGCCCATGCCAAGGCTCAGTCAGGACGGGATAACTGAGCCACTCAGAACCAGGAGATGCTGTCGCCTGTGGCCAACAGGAGAGGCAAGGGGCTGCAGGGCCTACCTAGAGGCGCCTGGCTCTCTGCAGCGCCACGCCTCGCGCCTGGAGCTTACCTTTCCGGATGAGGGCGGCGATCTCTGGGTCGAAGCCCTGCCGGTGGCACTTCCTCCAGAGGCCCATGTTGGTGGAGTTGTACTGCCGGCTGCACTCGTCCGCCGGGCTCATGGCGAACAGCTGCCGGCGATTCCGGGCCCGGAGGAGTTTGCCCTCCCAGCGGTCCAGGCGCGAGCGGCTCGCGCGCAGAGGCAAGTTGTTGTTGTTGTTGTAAATGAAACCGGGATCGACCCGGCGGGTGTTGAAGGCCTTGCACCTGTCCCTGTGCTTCCTGGCGTCCGTCTCGTACCAGTGGTCGGAGCAGATGGCCACAGCCAGCATTCCGAGGGCGCAGAGCGCTAGCGAAAGCCCGGTGTAGAGCAGTAACCTTCCGGCAGCCATGCCTCCGCTTGGCGGCTACACCATGGGCATGATCCGCCGCAGCCTCGCCTTCCCTCTGCACGCCCGGAACAAAGCGGAGGGCGGCCGAGCTGGGGGTGGGGACTGGAGGGGAATCTGCGCCGCGGCGACCCCTTGGCCCCCACCTGCGGGTACGGAGCCTGGAGACTGCGGGGATCGGGGCGGGCAGCCTATAAAGTTCTGTTACGGAGAGGCTCCCGCGGGGTCCTGAGCATCCTCCGGGCTGGTGCAGCCTTCTCCGGTGGTGGCGAACTCAACACCGCCACTTCTCACCGTTCAGGAGGCGACAGTCCTAAGCCTCCGCCTCGGCCCGCGGCCCGGCAACCGCAAACTAAATACCAAGTGCTCTCGACCGCGGCGGGATTTGCTGGGTTTTTCTGTGCAGCTTGCTGACCAAAGTGACTGTCCTGGCTTCCTAGGAATGATAGGGAGGGCGTGTGAGGACGCAGCACTCCGCCGAAGGAATGGATTGCGCCCGCGCCCGGCTGCCCTGGATCTCGTTCTCCTGGACTCTCCCCTTTTCGATCTGCAGCCGAAGGCCGGGGACGTGCGTCCGAAACTGTTCTTCCTCTCAGCGTCGGGTCTTTTCAAAGCCTCGGTCCTCTGATCACCAATAGGTCCTTGGCTCCTGCTGGCCCACGCGTGCTCTCAGAGGTGAACTGCCCGAGGACGCACGATCTCGGACAGCCTTTCCCCGCGAGCTCCCGGGTGGCCAGCCTCTGGCCTCGCCATTCAGACTGTCTAGCTTTTGGACAGCGGGGACACCCAGGTGGCGTTAGGCGACTATTCCAGGCCCGGGGTTTGCAGAGACTGGGCGGCAGCTGCCAGGAGCTATGGGCAGGCTGCACAGAGGAGGGAGCACCCCGGGCTCTCCGAGCTCCTTCAACACCATGGACAGGTCGCTCAGGGGTGGCGCGCAGCCGGCCCAGTCACCAGCCTCCTCGGTGTCATTCTGCTCTTTCCAGCTCCTTCTTCCTGGAATGTGTACGCCCAGCCTCCTCCAAGATCCCCTCTGCCTCACTTCACCTAGTCTCCCGCAGCCCCGCGTGGGAGCTGCCCAGGTGCTAAGCAAATGCTGCGGGCACCAAGAAAACCCAGGACCCGGCTGCTCGAAGCAACCCGCCCCCTTCGCTGCCACCTGAGCCCAAGCAGTCCAGCACCCGCTTGCTCTGGCCAGCTGGGGTCAGCCACTCTCAGACTGCACCATTTTCTTCGCAGCCCACCCAGGCGACGAGGCGCAGGGTCCCTCGGCCTCGTGCAGAGGATCCCGTCCCGGCCTCGGCGTCCCGCGATCCGGCTCCCCGCACTGTGGTGAATGGGGCAAGGGGTGGGGGGTAGGGAGCCTCGGTACCTCAGCTTACCCTCCCTATCTCCTCCTCGAGCCGCGGAGGCTTCCGGGCCTCTCAGGCTCAGCCGACGCCCGCGAGGAGCGAGAGCCTAGCCTGCGCCCCAGGGGCTCCAGAAATCGCATTGCCCGGGTGTGGGCGCCCTAGGAAGCCGCTGTCACTCGCTCGGCCTCTAGGCGCTGCAGCCTTGGCTAAAACCCACAGCCGAGAACACGGAGCGCGCAGCCAAAAGCTAGTGATGTCATCCGTGCAACGTGAGCCTCATCTCTTATTTTTCTAGCCTTCTTAAAGTTGAACCGCACCAATTTCCCAGGCACGAAATGTCTGAGCCTTATTCTTTGGCCAGGCAAGTGAATGGTGTCTAGGTAGGTATGCACTCCATCACATCCATATTTATGCACATATACATATATGTGGCATGTAGCATGTTTATGTGTATTATTGTAAATTTAGGGTTGGTGCCCACGTCTCCTGTTTCTCTTTTGACCGTGGAAAATTCCCTTAAACTCGCCACAGTTCTTTTTTTAAAAAAGTTTTAGAGAACCTTCTTTAACGAGTTCTGAGTGAACCCCTGTGCCCCGGGTTTCGGCCGCTAGTGTCTCCCGTTGGTTTAATCTTTGTTTTTCCCCCCAGAAAGCCATAAGCACTACCTTACTAGCTACTGTGATTTCCACCTGGAGCTGAGCAGAGAGCAGCGGTGAGGCTCTCGATCATCCTAAGCCAGCGCCCGACACAACACACACACACACACACACACCTGCCCTGACTCTTCAGCAAGAAAAGGAGACCGCAAGGTCCATTTAAGACCAGAAGAAAATCACAATGGGGTGGAGAAGGCTGTTGTAGATATTTTGGAGGAGAGGGAGAGTTAAAGCAACCTCGGTGTAAGGTTTGTCAGTGATCTCATGACCGCTAGGTTTAACCTCTGCAGGGCCTCTTTGAGGTGGTACCGGACTCCAGACCTTGAAGGGGTGGGCCCCAGCTAACGGATCCATCCCCACCCTACCCCGCCCCCAGCTTCTCTCACGTGAGACAGCCGCAAAGGCTGGGAGCCTCCCATCCAGCTCCACACACTAGGGGTATCATTCTAAAGCTCCCCCTTCGGTTTCACCCTCTCTCCAAAGCCGAGGTCCCCCTTTGCGGGATAAAGAGCTGCCCTAGGGACCCAGCTTTACACAGCAGGGCTTGTGAGTCTAAATGAACGCACCTCCACCATATTCTTTTTGTCTTTAGTTGTTTTTTTTTTCCTCTCTGCATTTTGAAAATCGAGAACAAGGCGTTTCAGTGCCATCTAGTGGGGGAGGGGCGTGCCTCTTTTTTCTTTTTTCTTTTTTTCTTTTTTTCTTTTTTTTTTTTCTCTCGAGCCTTAAATTCTTTGGTGGGATTTACTTCTTGCAGAGACAGTCCTTAGGATGCCCGCTTGGTCTAAAAGTTGCAGGCAAGTGCCCTAGCGCCCATCATCCTCAGAGTTCCCCGGGATGCCCTGGTGGAGCTGGGCAACTTTGGCCACAGTGTCTTCCCACCTTCTCCTCTCATCAGTTTTCCTACTTATGCCCTTGAAAAGAGAGAAGCACTTGGCATACGTGCAGACACCTGACA